GCTACAGAGCAAGACCTTGTCTCAAACAAACAAAAAGTATTGCCTAGATCCTGGCTCCCACCTACCTTTCCAGCTACCCTGTCTCCTGTTAACAGTTCTTGAAACAGTGTCTAAACAGTCTATCTTTAGAACATTGTCTCTTACTCTCTCCCCAACCTAGTAGGATCTGAGTTCTGTTCTTCCCATTCTCTAACTCTTCCTTAGATCACAAGTCACTGAGGTCACTCAGTGCTTGGGGTCCTTTGAGCCCATTGCTAATTGTTCTCTGAGCCTATTTCCTTGGCTGCATTGTTGTTATTCTCTGGGTTTTCTTCTATATATCACTGCTTTTTCATGATCTTCCTTTAGCAGCTGCATCTCTGTCTTGTTCCCTCCTAGGTAGCAGTTCATTCCCATAGCTGTAGTTATTATCTATACTAACAATCCCAGAACTGTATTCTGAATCTGGGACCCCGCCTCTCCTCTGAGCCTACACATACATTAGATCTCTCAGATATCTAATGTCTAATACATGTCTAATACAGAACTCATAGTCGTAATCTCATTCTCCCAACATTCCCTTTCCACTCAGTGCTATTACAGTCCAGTTATTCATACAAATCAGAAACCTAGGAACCATTCCTGACACTCCCATTTTTTTACTCTTTATATTAAAAACTCAATCATTAGCCAGGTGTCTGTGGCTCATGCCTGTAATCCTAGCTACTCAAGAGCTGATATCTGAGGATCATGGTTTAAAGCCAGCCCAAGCAGAAAAGTCTCTGTGAGACTCAAAAACAGGAAGTGGCACTGTGGCTCAAGTAGTAGAGTTCTAGCCTTGAGCACAAAGATACTTAAGGACAGTGCCCAGGCCCTGGGTTCAAGCCCCACAACCAACCTCCCAAAACCCAGAAAACCTCAGTCATTAAGACATATTTTTTATTGGGCACCAGTGGCTCATGCCTATAATCCCAGCTACTCATATGGCTGAGATCTGAAAATCATAGCTGAAAGTCAACCTGGGAAGGAAAATCTGTGAGATTCTTTTTTTTTTTTTTTTGGTTGGTTGTGGAGCCTGAACTCTGGGCCTGGGTTTTATCCCTCAGCTCCAGCTCAAGGCTAGCGCTCTACCACTTGAGCCACAGCGCCACTTCCGGCCTTTTCTGCTTATGTAGTACTGAGGATCGAACGCAGGGCCTCACGCATGCAAGGCAAGCACTCTACTACTGAGCCACCTTCCCAGCCTGTGAGCTTCTTGTATTTAGTTAACCAACAAAAAGCTGGAAATTGCCAGGTGCTGATAGCTCATGCTGTAACCCTTACTACTCAGGAAGCTAAGATCTGAGGACCTCAGAGTTGAAAGCCAGCCCAAGCAAGAACATCCATGAGACTCTTATCTCTAATTAACTACCAGAAAACCAGAGGTGAAGTTGTACTCAAAGTGGTACAACACTAGCCTTGAGCAAAAGAGCTCAGACCCTGAGTTCAAGTCCCATACCGACAACAAAAAAAAAAGCTGAAAATGAAGCTGTGGTTCAAGTTACAGAGCATCAGCCTTTGGTAAAAAAGCTAAGGGACAGTGCCCACGCCCTGAGTTCAAGCCTTAAGAACTCCCCCACACTCTTATTTCAATCTCCAAATTATGTGTTCCTTATTCCTATTCTCTTCATTTCTGTTGTCACTGCTTTCATATAAGCCACTAGTAACTCTCAACCTGAACCACTGCAACAATTTCCTCATCTCACATGACCTCTTCCAGCGCATCCCATACTTCCCAAACGATTTTGAATGACTCATATATGCAAGGAACTGCTCTGTATGATAGAACAAAGCAGAGGCCCTACTGTACTGAAGTTTCACTAGTCACTCAATGAACAAGTGGTAGCAGTGATGAATGCTGCGAAGACAAAGTGATGGTAAGTGCATGAGGGGGAAGCAGCTTAACAGTTTTCAGAGGAAGCTACTCTAAAGAAATGACCTTTGAGCAGCTTTGCTTGAAATCATGGGAAGGGTTCAGTCTTGTGACTTTGGGATGAGTATCCCAGCTAGCCAGTACGGAGTCCCCATGGGAAACCCTGACCTGGAGCTGCAAAAGGTCACAGAGTAAGTTGTGGGGAAGTAAAAAGATAATGGAGACTGAACAAGGGGATTATAGACCATGGCAAAACAAGGGAATGCAGAGTGGAAGGTGGGTTCAGATCAGGGTGAAGAGAGTAGGGTGAGGCTAATTTACATTTTTTAAATATTTATTTGGTACTCTTAATTTTTTTCCCACAACGATCTTTTTTTTTCTTTTTCCATTACTGGTGGTGTGTGTGTGTGTGTGTGTGTGTGTGTGTGTGTGTGTGTGTGTGTGTGTGTGTGTGTGTGTGTGTGTGTGTGTGTGTGTGTGTGTGTGTGTGTGTGTGTGTGTGTGTGTGTGTGTGTGTGTGTGTGTGTGTGTGTGTGTCCTGATATCCCTAAGCTTTTTTGCTCCAGGCTAGTGCTCTACTACTTGAGTCAGTTTCACTTCTGGCTTTTTGGTGGTTAGTTGGAGATAAGAGTCATAGACTTTCCTGACCAGGCTGTCTTTGAACAGTGATCCTCAGATTTTAGTCTCCTGACTAGGATTGCAGGTGTGAACCACCAGCATAAGCTTAAAAATACTGGGAATTGAGGAAGTGGGGCTGTGGCTCAAGTGGTAGAGCACTAAACTTGAGCTGAAGAGCTCAGAGACAGCGCCCAGGCCCAGAGTTCAAGCCCCACAATTGACACACACACACACAATTTGTCAAAAATACTGGGAATTGAATTCAGTCTTGTACTTGCTTGGCAGATATTTTACCACTTAAGTCATGCCCAGCTCCACAAAGGTATTTTTAACATGCAAAAAAACTCATTTCATTTCCTTGTTCAGAGCTTTGCCCATTGCTCTTAGACATACTAGATTTTTCTCAGTTCTTGTAATACATCTTGTCACATACTGTTCTTGCACAGAATACTTCTCTTTTTCCACTAGCTACCTCACTATTTTGTCCTTAATTCCTCAGGGAGTTTTCCTAAAATCCCTGAGGACTCTGTAAGATTGTCTCATAGAATCCTGTCTGCCCTCCAAGGATCATGTCTGGGTTGTTCACTGAAGTAGTCCAGATTCCTCGACCAGAACACATTGGACACTCAGTAAGCATTTGCTAAGTAAAGTCTCAACCCCCTCCTTGTACTGGGCGGGGGGGGGGGGTGGGTTTGAACTCAGAGCCTTGTGCTTGCTAGCCAGGCACCACTTGAGCCACACTGTCAGACCTGAGCAATATGTGTGTGTGTGTGTGTGTGTGTGTGTGTGTGTGTGTGTCAATGTCAGTACTCAAACTTGTACTCAGGACCTCACACTCTCAGCTTTCTTGTTCATGGCTGGGGCTCTACCACTTGAGCCATGCCTCCAGTCTGGCATTTTGTTAAAGATGGAGTCTCTTAAACTTCTGCCAAAACTGGCTTGCTTTAAACAGCCTCCTGAGTAGCTAGGATAATAGGTGTGAATTACCAGCACCTGCCTTTTGTGCAATTTTCAATGTTGACATCAGTAAAAATTAGCTTTTATTATCCCTTGCTAGCTTTGTGGTCCTCCCAGGTCAAAGTGGAAAAACATACTTCAGAAGACCCTGAAGCCTCCCTAATAGCCAAAGTTTGAGTGTTCTTAGTAAAGTTTAAAGATTGTGGAAAGGGAATGAGCTAACTTCCGGTTAAAACCCCATCCCTATCTCCTCATCTACTCTCTGGGTTTAGTACCAAGTTTTTTGAACACACTTGTATGTCTGAAAGAGAATAGGAAGGTCATATAAAAGATAGAGAATCTCTTTCTTATCCAGAGCAGTCATCCAAATGGGAAAGTCACTCATCAAATCAAGAAGAAAAACCCCTATAAGGCTAAGTGTAATGGTTCATGCCTGTAATCCCAGGATTTGGGAGTCTAAGGTAGAATAATAGTGAGTTTAAGACAGCCTGGGCTACTTTATGGAGACAGTCTCAAAACACATGGAATGACTAGAACCAATTGCTGATAGGATTATGAGAAGGACATATGCTATATCATATCCATGTACTAGGCACTGGTTTCTAGATTAAAATGAAGACACAAATCAACTTGTCAAAGAAGAACAGCTAGTCATTTATGATCAAAACCAATACAACAAATCCCTTTTATGATATACCATGCTTCTAGACCGAGAATATGAGAGTATTATTTGAGTTAGCTAGAGTTTACATCAAAACCAATGAAATAACCGGGAGCTGGTAACTCATGCCTGTAATCCTAGCTACTCAGGAGGCTGAGATTTGAGGATCACGATTCAAAGCCAGCCGGGGCAGGAAAGTCTGTGAGACTCTTATCTCTAATAAACTACTAGAAAGCCAGAAGTGGTGCTGTGACTCAAGCAGTAGAATGCTCATCTCAAGCTGAAGAACGCAGGGACAGCGTCCAAGCCCAGAGTTCAAGCCCCATGACTGACAAAAAACAAACAAACAAACCTAAATTGCTCAGGCTTCCTGGAAAAGGTTATAGCTGTCTCTTGTTCACAGCACAGTTTCAAACAAGATTGGGGCAACTTTGTACAATACAGGTACCTTATTAAATCTGAGGCTACACTGTGATTGGCTTGAGCAACTTTGCCTTCATAGGTTCTTCTGGATGAGTTCATGAAAATTTCTAGGTCTTAGGAAGAGTAAGGAAGACTCTGTAAACAGGTTGTATACAAGGAAATCCCAAATTTTTCCTTAGGAATTTGGCCAAAGGCTTGTGTCGAGTCCAGATAGTCCAGTTTCCTTTGGTGCACTGCTTGAATTTCTTTGAAGAACTGAGGCTGTACAACAGGATGTTTAATAGAAAGCTCTTTCCTTTATGACATCACCAGACAGAGGTAGCTCAATGAACTGTTTGAGACAGAATAACAGCCACTTTTGTGGGAGCCCAAGAACAGCAGCTTTAAAAGAAAATGAGGATAAATAGTCTGGTTTTATTAGGATCCTGACGACAATTCAGTCAACAAAATATGGCATCTACCCAGAAGGGTTCAGTCTATCAGGTAGCCAAGTCAAGTAGAACTGGGTCCAAGATAGCAGTTCCAGCACATAGAGGGACTGAGACTATTAGCGCCACTCAACGGGGACATGGGTACATTAATTCCTCAAGCCAGCAAAATGCTGCTGTCTCTCTGAGCCCCAATCCCCAACGAAGATCAGAAGCTATGTATAACACCACTGCCCACTCAGCATCTGACTATCTTCGATCTCTGTCAATGCAGTCAGGGCCTCCCTTATATACATCATACCAGAGGGGGATGGAGACCCGACAAAGAACAGATGCACCCCGCCATTCCTCTCCTCATCGAAAGATATCAGCTTTCCCAACCATGAATGCACAACGGAATGTTAGTCCAATCAGAGAGGAAGCAATGCGAAGTGTCGACAACAAGCCAGGTCGTGATATTGGCCACCGTATCTCATCTCCTGATGCCAAACCCCCCCGTCGCTTGAGTTTTATAGATGAAAAGGAAAGCTTACAATTACAAAACTTAGAAGAAGAGGACCCACCCTCCAAGGTCCAGAACCCCCAAGGGGTCAGAGTTCCTCGTAGGATTTCATCTCATCCAAAGGATGAAGCAGTACAAACAGATCCCGTCCGAAAGATTTCCAATATCAGTGAGGTCAAATCTCCAAGGAGTGTCTATACTGGTGGCAGCAGGGTTCCTGCAGACCACCGGGCAGTCCTTAGGCGGACCACTGCCCTAGAGCCAGAAATGGGTCCTACCAACCCAGTTCTTCCTGAACCAAAAGCCTCCATCAAAAATACAAAATTGGCACCAACCCTCAAACTCTCTGTTCTTAGAGACTTACCTAGTGGATATCGAGTTCCTGTACGTTCAGAGGGGGAGCCTCTCCAAAAGCATTATGTATGCACTGAGGCTAAGCCCCCCACAAAGGTTATAATACCATCGGAGGTGGAGGCCAATGAGAAGTCCCTGAAACGAGACAGTGAGATTGGCCGCAGGGTCACCATCTCCCCAGTGGAATACTCAGTGCAGGCAGCTCACCGTTTGTCAACTCGAGGAGGAGTGTCTGAAGCTCCTCACAAATCTCCTATATACCCAGAACCCTGCTCGAAGCCTTCCATCCAGGCAGAACTGGAACTGACCCCTCGGCCCTTACCCCCTCGGTCCTTACCTAGGTATGGGCCTGACTGCTCATGGTGGGCCTTACTGAATCGTGAAACTGAAATGCCCCAAAGCCGGCCATGCACACCTGATTTTGAGCCTAAGTCCCCTCCTCCCCTAGACCCCATAATATCCTTTTATGAAATGGACTCAAACCTTTTCTGTGAAGACTTAATGTTCCAGAGAGAAAAACCATGCACACCACCACCACTACCACTGCCTCCTCCACCACCACCACCACCACCACCACCACCACCACCACCACCACCACCATCACCATCGAAGCAGTGTCCAAGCCGGCTATCATGGAAGGAAGTCCCTCATGTCCTCAAGCATGCCAGCAAACAACTCATTCAAGGGTTTAATGCTTTCTTCCTGGGTATGTGTAGAAGCAGCCTGTTCAGGTATAGCCCCAAACTAGTGAGGTAGCATGTTGGGGTAGCAAAAAAGACCCTTCTTTATTCTGGGACTCGGGTATTCTGTTTCCAGTGTCAAGCTAATGATATCAACGACAGTGCTTATACCAGCAGCAGGCACTGAGTCTTCCAAGAGATGCTGCTACATGGTACTTCAGTGTGAGGTAGTAGAGTGGTTTGCAGGGTTAGAACTTGCTTTCTGAGAGTGGAGATGAAGACTTGGGCCAGGTTGAAAGGTAATCAGTGCTGTTGAAAAGAATAAGGTCCTCAAGCACATATTCTAGCATCAAAGCAGAAGAGATGGTACACCAATGATCTGGGGCCTCGGCTTCCAGGAGGGAGATGGCCTTAACAGTGGCACGGAGAGGGAGTTGGGAATAAAAGCATGTGATTTGGGGTCCTACGTGGGAGAAGCTTCTGGGATCAAGAATGGAGGGCACCTCTCAGAGGAGACATTATAGAGCTAGAAAGCAAGATATAAGTAGTATGGGGGGGGGTGATAAACAAGAAAAAATCAATCTTGCTGTTACTTTCAGATGTCTCTGAGGAAATGCAAAATCGAATTCTCTGGTGGCTAAAAGGTTTGTGCCTTTCCTTCTTGTGGGTCCATTGTGGAGGGAGGGTTAAAAGATAGGAGGCCAAGTAAGGGGGGGGGTCTTTTTGGAGAATACAAGCAGGGTTTTGAAACTGAAAGAGCAGAGGTACTTCTCTTGCCTAAAATGTCACCATTAAAGTCATCCCTCTGAGAACTGGAACCTTTAAATTCAAGAAATGAAATCCTGAGGTTGAAACACTCCAAAGCCATTTGACAACACTTGATGGTGAGCCTAAGTCCTGTCCTAGACTCTTTTATGAATTGCACTTAAGCCCTTTGTAAGGACCTGAAGTTCCAGGGAGAGAAGGCAAGTACACCATCATCTCAAAAGAGTCACCAAGCTGAGAGCCACTGAAGGAAATGTCTCAGGCATTTTCACTTTGGGGTGTGTGTGTGTGTGTGTGTGTGTGTGTGCACTTTGGGGTGTGTGTGTGTGTGTGTGTGTCTCACCAAAACAAAACAGGCTACCTGCTTCACAGATTGGCCCAAGGTTAACTCCACATTAATTCAGGTTGGGGAATCTTCCCAGGTGTCTCTCTGGCTTCTCAGAACCCTTTGACCTTGGGACACTTTTCTATTTTTTTTTTTTTTGTGGGTCATGGATCTTGAACTCTGGGCCTGAGCGCTGCCCCTTAGCTCTTCAGCTCAAGGCTAGTGCTCTACCACTTGAGCTACAGCGCCACTTCCGGTTTTCTGGTGGTTTATTGGAGATAAGAGTCTCACGGAGTTTCCTGCCCCGGCTGGCTTTCAACTGTGATCCTCAGATCTCAGCCTCCTGAGTAGCTAGGATTACAGGCGTGAGCCACCGGCACCCGGCTTTGGGACACTTTTAAGAGCTGCTGCTCAGGTAAGATCTCCAGGGATGTCTAGTCTTCCTCTTTGAGGCCACCAGTGTGTCTTAATGTCAACTCCTGAATATTTAAAAATGTTTCCTTAGGACCTTATCCTCTGCTTCATTTGTACTCTTGGCAGTGGAAGGGAGGGGATTATACCTCACAGAGTGAATCTTGATAGTAGGGAGTTCTTGCTGTTAGTAATGAAGCTCCAGATAAGCTCCAGTCCAATGAATATGGCAGTGGCCAAGGCTTTGGCTGAAGTTCCTAGTGAGGAGAGAGCCCTGAGAACACAGTCCAGTCCCCAATCTTCCCATTTGAAGGGGCCAACCAGCACAAGCCCTCCAAATGATGGACAGCAAAGACAGGGGAGGGTGCCCCTCCCCTCCAAGAAAACAAAGTTCTATAAAGTAGGAGTATATTAAAATATGGATTCCCGGGGCTGGGAAGGTGGCTCAGTGGTAGAGCGCTTGCCTTGCATGCTCAAGGCCCTGGGTTCGATTCCTCAGCACCACATAAGCAAAAAGAAAAAAGCCGGAAGTGGCGCTGTGGCTCAAGTGGTAGAACACTAGCCTTGAGCTGAAGAGCTGAGGGACAGTGCCCAGGCCCAGAGTTCAGGCCCCACGATCGGACCCCCCAAAAAAAAAACAATAAAATATGAATTCTGGAATTGTCTTATAGCTGGTCCACTATTTGCCAACTATGGCCTTAGGTAGATTACCTCTCCAAGTCTCAGTTTTCTTATCTATTATGTGGGAATAATGACTTCCTCTTTATAGATTATTGTGAGGGGGCGCTGGGAAGGTGGCTCAGTGGTAGAGCACTTGCCTTGCATGCATGAGGCCCTGGGTTCGATTCCTCAGCACCACATAAGCAGGGGGAAAAAAGCCGGAAGTGGTGCTATGGCTCAAGTGGTAGTGTGCTAGCCTTGAGCTGAAGAGCTGAGGGACAGTGCCCAGGCCCAGAGTTCAGGCCCCACAACCGGACCCCCCCCAAAAAAAAATTATTGTGAGGTTTATCCAAACTATTGCTTGTAGCATAGTGAGCATCCAATAATTGCTGTTGTTATTTAGGCTACTTGTACAAGGAAGGGATTTGGGCTAGTTTATGCCCATATCTGCTGGGCATCTTTAAGTAATATTTTATTTTTTCCCTCCTTTTGGCACTCACTGAATTCCATCTGCTGCTCCCTGGGAATGCCTGGCTTCCACTTTTCTGCTATGACAGATGAGGAGGTAAGAATGCCCCTGAGAAATTACTTTCAGCCTTCTGGTGCTCCACTACCTAATCTGAGTCTTACCCCTAACCTCTGGTGGAAGAGGGTATGGAGGGAAATAGATCTGGCCCCTGTGGGTGGACAGGTTGTTCATTGAACCAGGATGCCTCTGTTCCATTTGCCAAGCTGGGTGCCTGTGGCAGTGCATCTCCTCAAAAGGAGATTTGCACACAAGTGCTATAAGAGCTAGTTGCAACCCTGGAGAAAAAGAATAGGAACTTTGGCAGGTGATGGACAGAACAGCCATTTTGGATCAGGCCCTGACTCTCCTCCTCCCTGAGGCACTCTAGAAAGGGGTTGCATTTCTGGGTTACACACTATTTGGATCCTCAACTTGAAAAAGCATAAGGTGGCCTCTGCTCTTGGCAGCTCTGTGTCCTAAATTTGGCAGTGTCCTGATTCCACAGTGCATTTATTGTTCCCATAAGTATTTTGGCTCTTCTTGGCCCATGTTTGATAAAATGAAAGTTCTTACTGCTTCCATTCTTTCTCTTAACATCTTCTCTTACTCAAGGCCTAACAGTAGCCTCTAATGGATTCCCTCCATGGCTAACCAGCCCATGATGAATAGTTGACTATAGATGGAAAACAAATAAGTGGGGGTGGGGGGAACAGACTGAGCTCAGATAACAGAACAGCTGAAGGGGAGGTGTCCACCCCCTCTGCCCTGAGTTCTTACCCAGCTCCAGGCTCTGAGCTTGGCTGTAGGAGGGAGTAGCCACTTTTAGAGATTATCTCCATGCAAAACAGTAAGTCCCTCCTTCCTTCCTTCCTTTCTTCCTTCCTTCCTCCCTCCCTCCCTCCCTCCCTTCCCTTCCTTTTCTCCTCTCCTTTCCTCCCCCTTCCCTCCCTCCCTCTGTTTTTCCCTTCCCTTCTTCCTTCCTTCCTTCCTTCGTTCCTTCCCTGGCTTTCCATTGATAATTTTTATTCAAATGTCTAGTACTCTGCTAGGCACTATTGGAGGAAGCTTCACCTCTCTCTCTCTCTCTCTCTCTCTTTGACCTTGCAAAACTGGCCATCTAGATGGGGAGATAAGACAAGGGCAGGAAACATTTAAACAATATGCAATAGTCTGTGGTCAAATGTCAAAATAGTAGAGATTGAATGAATGTTCTTGGAGGGTCTTAGTGTCAGCAGGAGGTAAATAGGGGTTGTGGGTTATACCCTCTTTCCCAAAGCTATGGGGAGATGACTTAACAGCTGACCTCTTGTTCACCCCTTAATACAAACCTATACCTTTGGGAAGGAGTGTTATAACCCTTTGTGCAAGATTTGATGTGTGCAACTGAGTAGGCTCCTCCCTGTCCTCCCCCAACATCACCCCCTTTTTCTGTGCATCTTGTTTTAGTTTAGGAAGTCAAAAGCCTTGGCAGCAGAATGACTTCTTCCCAAAATAGCTCTTATCCTGTCTGGATAATTACAGCTCTCCAGCCCTGTTCAGCAGCAGAGCTGCTCCACAGAAGCTGGAAGACAAGGCTCTCATGCAGCTGGGCTTCTGGGCTTCTCTGGATCTCTGGAGCCAGGGTGACATGGAGATGGTTCAGGTAGTCTCCCTGAAAAGCATGACTGAGATAAACTTTCCCACCTGTCCTCCAGGCTGCACCACCTGCAGGCAGTTCCAAGGCAGAGAATGTGATATTGGACTCCAGGGCCTCTGGTTCCTCTGTGCTGGGCATGGGTTGACCATAGCATCCTGTCCCTGATTTCATTCCTGGCAGGAATTCTCTGGTGGCCCAGACCCAGTGCCTGGCTTCTGGAAAGCAGCATATCTGTTGTTGAGCTTCACAAAGCTCCTCTGGGTCCATTGCTGAGAATGGTGCCTGACTTAATCCAGGTCTTTCTCAGTCTCCTCCCAAATAGCCGCTGGAGGTCCTTTTGTCCTAAGGAGGAGTGGGGGCAGACAGATACTTCTCAACCTTGGATTGGGTAATTAGGAAGTAGAATCTCCCCAGATGAGGTTGAACTGAACTGAGGAACCATTTCTAAAGGGTGTGTGTGTGTGTGTGTGTGTGTGTGCAGAAACTCAAAAGGAAGGGCTTTAAAGGTGCTCTGGTAGGGAAAGACCTACCTTTTCAATCAGCCCTGGGCAGTTTTTGAAACGAAGTGGGTGGGACCACAACTTGTCTGATAGACCGAGCTGCCCAGGGCCCAAGATCCTGTGTTGTGTTTTCAAGGCATCTGACCTACTCACCCTTGCATGTGACTTAGACTGTCAGGAGATGAAGTGGTTTCCTCCTTGCTTGCATCCATCAATTATGTAAAAAAAAAACAACTGGAAAATAGGTCAGGAACCAGAGGAGGCCATTTCAATGGTACCTGAAGCAGACTTCAATGCCCTTAAAGAGAACTTTGTCATTTGACCCACAAGGGACAAGTACAGTCTGCCTCCAGTTGGCTCCTGAACCCTAGGGAAATTTTTTTCTCAGGAGCACCTTGATTACAAAGAAAAACCTGGAGTGTCTGAGGAAACTGTGCATTCATGGGGATGGTAACAGAATCCTAGGAAGGATGTGGGCCATCTGAAAGGAACCCTAGAAACTGTCTTTGCCTCTCTTCCCATGGAGAACTTTTGAAAGAATAGAGCAAAGTGACTAAACTAGGGTGGAGGGCAACTCAGGAGGTTTAATAGCAGCTTAGACCCCCCCCCCCTTTCCTGGTCAGATGGCACTTGTTTATCTCAAGCCACCATGTGCAGTCAATTCCAGTGCAGGATGGAAGGCTGGTGACCTGAGGCCACGTCTTGCTAATTTGGACACAGGCTAGCTTGACCAACTCATCTAGTTTAGCCCTGAAAGTCCTGATTTTCAAGAACTCTTTAGTCTTGGATAAACAAGGACAATTAGTCACCTAGGACAAGTTGTGGTGTGGTGTGGTCTGCATCAGCAAGAACCTCTAGAAGCACAGTGTAGGGGGGTGAGTGTCTGTGTTTACTGTGAGACCTGGGCAGGTTCTTCCTTCTGCCTAGGAAATGAAGGTAGAGAAATGTAACTCCTTTGTCTGGGGCTTGGTGGCAGAACTGAGGCCAGCATCTCAGGGTTCTGCCCAAAATGATCTCACATAGGGAAGAACTTGCCATATCAGTTTTGGACTTTTTGGTGTATTTTCAGAAGGCACCTGGTTGCTTGACTGAAACTCATCTCTAACAGTAGTTTTCTGCCAATGTACTTTTAGTTGTGGGGTTTTGTTTGCTTTTTTTGTTGACAGGGTTTGCTATGTAATCCAAGCTGACTCTCAAATTCACCCTCCTTATTCCTCAACTTTGGAGTGCTGTGATTATAGATGTATGCCATTATATCTAGCTCTGTCAGAATACTCTGTTGGTGTGGGAAATGGGTTTTCTTTTTCAAGTAAGAACAACAGTAGGCCTGTGAATTAGGGAGGTTGGCTTCAAAGGGCAGAGTTAAGGAAGAAAATCTGTAACCTAGAAGTCACCCTGACAGCTGTTCAACTAGAAGAAGGCTATCCTGAACAGCAGCAAAGGCCATGTCCCTTCACCCTCCTCTGCTCAGCTGCTTTTGGATCAGCTGCTGTGAGGGGAGCAGCAAGACAGCTGCGCCTTGGGGACCGAATGAAGGTCTGGAGGAGGGGAACAGAATGTGAATAATGTCTCTTGGTTCCTGAGAGAAGTCCAGGGTAGGCTCTGAGACTGAGGAGAACTGGGCCAACCAAAGTCTCTTCTTTGGTACAACGCCACAGGCAAGTGATCTAGCTCTAAGGGGTCTACATGGTGGCTGTTTTCAGGACTTTCTGTTAGTAGATCAGAGATCAAGACCTCTTTTCTAGAGGTGGAGTGATATCTAGCTGGAAAAATTAACTCTATTGGTAGCAGCAGTATGGTCATTTCCATGTCAGTGTAGTCTAAACCATTACTCTGGTATTTTCTCTGCTCCCATCTGTCACACCCAATACACATATACACACTCCCAATCCTTCAAAGGGAAGGCATTTGAAATAGTCACAGTTGACAGTAGCAGGCTTGACACTGATTGTTTTCCCATTTGTAGCGGTAACAGCTATCATTCATTTTAGTTATTTCATGTTAACTATGTTACTGAGTCTTTTTTTTTTTTTTGGCCAGTAGTGGGGCCTGAACTCTGGGCCTGGGTGCTACCCTTCAGCTCTTCAGCTCAAGGCTAGCATTCTACCACCTGAGCTACAGCGCCACTTCCAGCTTTTTTTTTTTTCTGCTTATGTGGAGCTGAGGAATCGAACCCAGGGCCTCAGGCATGCAAGGCATGAGCCACCTTCCCAGCCCTTACTGAGTCTTTATAGCAACCTATGGGATGGACTTTTTCCTCCCAGTTCACAGATGATGAAACTGAAGCTCCAAACTGGGAAAACTTTTGTTTTGTTTTTTGGGTCCGGTCGTGGGGCCTGAACTCTGGGCCTGGGCGCTGTCCCTCAGCTCTTCAGCTCAAGACTAGTGCTCTACCACTTGAGTCACAGCGCCACTTCCGGCTTTTTTCTTTTTGCTTATGTGGTGCTGAGGAATCGAACCCAGAGCCTCAGGCATGCAAGGCAAGTGCTCTACCACTGAGCTACCTTCCCAGCCCCAAACTGGGAAAACTTTAAGGAGCATTGTGCCTTGGGGATTCCATTAGGTGATACAGAAATCCTTCTTCTCTTGCCACATGCTCCTGTAACTTCTCAATATTTTATTAATATCAAGAATTGCAAAAGGAAAGCTTTTAGTGGGAGTAAAATGCCTATCTTCCCTATGAATAATGAGGCTGGAAGGTGGATGTGAATGTGAAAGCAACCAGAATGAAGGGTATTCATGGGTCAATGAAGACCAGAGCCTCAAGGCCTGTCTGTGCTCTCAAATCAGAATGGAAAACTGATCAATGCATCCTTTCAGTCGATGTCCATTGATCAGCCAGCTCCTGGGGGCAGAGACCTGTCATCCATTATATCACTTGTTTACATGTTCTCTAGAGGTTAAAATAGAAGACATATTCC